GCCAAATAGTCACATGTGACTAGTATGTTGGACACCACAGAGGTCAGTGATGGGCCCAAAAATCAGGTGCTTTCCTGAACTTCATCCAAACATAAGAACAGCCATGCTGAGTCAGACCAAAAGTCCATCTAACCCAGTATCCTGATCTCTGACAGTGGCCAATGCCTGGTGCCCCAGAGGGATGAACAGAACAGGTAATCATCAAGTGATCCCTACCCTATCACTCATTCTCAGCTTCTGACAAACCGAGGCTAGAAACACCATTCCTGCCCATCCTGGCTAATTGCCATTGACCTATTTTTCATGAATCTAGCTCTTTTTTGAATTCTGTTAAAGTCCTAGTCTTCACAACATCCTCTGGCAAGGAGTTCCACAGGTTGACTGCACATTGCATGAAGAAATACTTCCTTTTGTTTGTTTTAAATCTGCTACCTACCAGTCTTGAACCTGGAGTTTTGAGCTGGAAATCAAGAGCAGGCTCTGAGATTACTGGGATCTATTCTAAATGTCAATTAACTTCAGCCTCCAAAACAAAGTGTTTTGGGGATAAGTTTGAGTCCAGGATGAAGGCTGAGTTTAATTCTGTATCTCAGGTGGACTGGCCATCCCTAACACTGCCCACCTTCCTTCCTGCCTGCTCTGGACTTGGGGCAGCCAGGTTCATGTGTGGCTCCAATGCTCTTGAGAAGACTCACTTTGCTTCTTCTGACCCTAAGGCCGTGTCCAGACTCAGGGGTTTTTTCGGGAAAAGTAGCCTTTTCCCGAAAAAACTTCCCCTGCGTCCAGACTCAAGCCGCGTTCTTTCGAAATTATTTCGAAAGAACGCGGCTTTTCTTTCGATGGCGGTAAACCTCGTTTCACGAGGAAGAACGCCTTCTTTCGAAAGTTCCTCTTTCGAAAGAAGGCGTTCTTCAATGTAAATAGGCCGTCTTCGAAAGAGAGCATCCAGACTCGCTGGGTGCTCTCTTTTGAAAAAGCGGATTTCTCTTTCGAAAGATCCGCCTGCAGTCTAGATGCGATCTTTTGAAAGAGCCTCTTTCGAAAGAAGCCTGCAGTCTAGACATAGCCTAAGTGAGTGTCTCTGATCAGCAGCTTGCTCTGGGCCTGACTGTGTACCCTTTATTCTCAGGGGAGGGCACTTAATCATCAGACTACCCAGGGAGGGAGCAGCGGGGTGGCCTTGATGATGGCCAAAGGCTACTCCGCACAGTTTAGACTAAGGGTCTCTGCTGTATGCCACCCTGCCAGGACCACACCCTTCCCCACGCCTTGTGCCTGCAGGGACTGGCTGTCACCAGCTCTTTGGCTTTTACAGGGAGCCCTCTGCAGCCCCATTGTCATGCCTCCTCCTCTCACTGCCCACCCAGGAGAGTGGGAGCCATCTCCAGCTAGGAACTGTTTAGCAGCACTTCAAAGCCAGAGGTTCGTCCTCCTTGCAGTTCTGGCTGGGGGGTTCTGCTGTGCCCAGCCAGGATCCCAGGACGTGCACCCCAGTGTCTTGGGGCCACTGGCTATACAGGGGCTCATCTCCAGTCCTACTGCCAGCACTAATCCCAACGCCTGCCCTACCCACCCTGGATTCCCAGCTACTTTTGTAAAAATAAAAATATAAAAATCTTCAGCGTACAAATTGCTGTTAATTATTGCAATGGGAAAAATAAAAATCAAATGCTACCACGCCTGGACTTGGACACACCCCGGCAGTCGTCATCTCCTGGCTAGTTTAGATGGAACCTTCAAACTAGGGTGCAAGTCTAGACATACCCTCTTAGAATAAAGTAGCAGTCTGCTAATAGTCTCCCTGGGCTACTTCTGGGTCAACTGTCCACTGATAGAAACCTTTGTAAAAGAAACCTACTCAGATGCTGGTGCCAGTGACTGTGAGTAACAAATCACTGGCATAATGAACTTGATGTGCCACTGGAAAATCACTTTGGTGGCAAGGCCTTTGTCCAACTATATATCAGACCTGCTGCTTATCATTTTATCCAGCTGTGTAACGTGGAATCCTCTAACAGATTTGTAAGTGATACAGGAAATGAAAGACTGTGGCGTGGTGCTATGAGATGAAAAGCCATGGTACCAACCAACCATGTGCTGGAGAAATTTGACGTCCTGTACAGCGCAGACAGTGTTTGGTCTTTAAATCAGCTTTGCCACTCAACTGCAATCTGAATTCAGTGTTTGCATCACACTGTGAATGTACATTTTTGTTCTACCTGGACTGCATTCTCATCCTGTTCATTTACCGTGTGCTACTCAACTCCTTGAGGTTTCTTATGTGCTTAGTGGCTGCCAACCTAAGTTTCTGGGGCAAAACCTCCCTCCAGGAAATGATCTTATTCCTGGTTGGAGCAGGACTAGACACACTAGACATCCTGATTTAGTATCCTCCCCTCACTGTGTAATGTCAATTTCTAACTTCTCTGTGAGATGTATGTTAAACTTCCCAGTGCTGACATGCCATATGACTCAATCAGCATTTCTTCAAAGGAACATACCACAGAAATCTCACACCCGAAGGATTCACCCACACATCTTCAGGAAATCATTTCAAGATGACCTATCCAGTTGGATTTTTTTTCCCCTCCAAGTGTTTCTTAGGAACTACTCATCTTCCTCTGTGAAGTATCAAAATCAAGATAAGGTTAAGTAGCATATGGACCACGTTGGTAGTGAATTAAAATAATTATCCTCTGGGAATGGCTGATGTTCTCAGTTTGCTTCCTGGTGAACAGATGTCCCTATCACAAAACCCCGCATTACGATCCACATTCATTTGCTGCTTGCTGGCAAGACGAGCAGAGAAGTCACAGGCTGAATGAACGTGGAATATGAAGAACATATTGCAACCGTCCTGGTCAGGACTAAAGCATTAGATAGGCTGTGTAGTGTGTAGGGAAGCTTCCATTGCTGCTGCCCATGCTGTAACCCTTTCTAAGGATACATTGAGAATTACAATCTGCAGTTCTGAGCGATTCCCAGCACTGAATTCACATTAGCCAGGAATAAAGGAAAACACTAAGCAGCGCTAAATGTTTGGTCACAGGTCTGATACAATTGCAATTCTAATGCTGTGGGACTTGCAGGAATCAACCTGGTACCACAGTAATGAGGTGACTGGATTTATTTTCTCTGCAGCACAGAATTGGTGTCCCTTTTAATTTGGTATGTTATTGAAGACTATCAAAATGTCAGTGCTTCATTCTTCATCCATAGTCATGTCCCAGTATATCAGGGTAGGCACAGACTCAGAGCAGTGTACGTGACTTAACACTGGGTCATTTCCCTTAGCATCCATAGGCACTTTGCAGGTGAATCCCTATGCACTGTGGTGAGGGCATGTGGACCCTTTCTAGAGCATCACTTAATGAACTGATCTGAAATTTCCCTTTTCCCTCACCGCACCAGACTTAATACCATTTGAGCATAGTTTCTCTATTTGTATTTAGCTCTTTGATATTGGGATCAATTCTCTGTTTGATTAGATTAATTAGAAACAACTGATAGGGTTTTTCCTCTGTCTGCCTTATCCTGATTACACAAACTGAACGTGAGCCAGTTCTGGAACATGCTGGCTTCACTTGGTCCCTTGCAACAGAAAGCTGGACTGCAAAGCCTGACTGCATGGTAAGTGGTAATAGCACGCAATACTTCTCAAGAGGTGTGTGTGTGTGTGTGTGGAGGGATGCACTCCAATTTCCCATTGCAGTCTATGGAAAGATTTTAGTCGAAATTAAACCAGGCTCTAAAGTGATGCACCCCAGAACAACCTCATGCATGGTAATAATTTCAGTGACAGGTTTGTGTGCACCAGACCAATCCTTGGACTATATTTTGCAACACAGAAACTTGGGGCAGGGACTGTTTTTGTGTAGAGAAGTGCTAGAGTCAATTAGGAAGCCAATTGGAGGGGTGTATTTTTTAGCCACGCTGAGAACTGACAGTGCTCATTGGATTTGTTGAAGCTCAGCTATTCTGAGAATTGGCCCCTTAATTACTAAACGTATATGCACACAGTAATCAAAGAAAAGATGGATTATAAACAATAATAATTTCTAATCTGGTGAAATCCTCATTTAGTCAAGGGGCTACTTGATCAATATGAGCAGCAGTTTGATTCTTAGACTTGTCAGTCAGAAAGCGTCAAAGGCATATGGTCTGGAAATCGGTGTGGTAAATACCTGAATCAGTGCAGGCTTGCAAACTAGCCAAAGGTTGATCAACATTATGAATAGCTCAAGTGGGTGAGAAGGGGTGGAGGTGTGGGACAGAGGAAATCACTTTGGCTAGTGCAGACAGAAGTGAAAAAATGGCCAGTTCAGAGGAAGGAAGAAGGCCCATGTTGAAACAAAGGCTATGTCTACATTACGGAGCTTTATCCAAAAAAGTATGCAATTTTTTGGAAGAGGCTTTTCCGAAATTTGGCCTGTCTACACTAGGCCAAATTTTGGAAAAAAGCCCTCTTTCAGAAGAGCCTCTCTTCCTCGTGGGAGGAGGAAGACAGGGCCTCCAAAAGAGCGTGTCTGCTCTTCCACAGAAAAAAGCGGAAGAGCAGATGCATTTCCCGGAAAAACCCATTCCCCTCTTAAGATTTCTTCAGTCAACTGCCAAAATTGAGTATAAAAGCTGGTTTGGTTTGCACCAGTGTAAAACATCCTGTTTAAGCTAATGAACTTATATTTTTCAATGGTGTTAGAAAAAAAAGGAATATAAGCAAGTTGTTGCCAATGTATTTTAGTTGTGAGAAAGCGACTTTAGCAATACATGACATTTTTCATGACTTAGCAGAAAATGACAGTCCCTGATAATACACACAGGCAAAATCATTTAGCGCAATCACCTATATTACTTTATGATTACAGTTGAGTGTTGCAGTAAAATAATTGGTTTCTTGTTATGTGACAGGTTGATATCTTTAAAACCTAAATATGGGTTCAAATCTAGAAGGTCCCTACTTAGTAGTCTGAGTAAAGAATGAACATGACCTGAGTATGGACTTTGATATTTCTCTTAAACTGCTTTATTTGTACAAAACAGTATAGATTTGGTAGCATCACTGATATAACTTATGAAGAATATTCATTCAAAATCATGCACTATAAGTCAGATCTGACTGATGCTTTTAGTTGGACTCCATTCTGACTTCCAAGTTCAGAAACAATGCAGAATGTGTCTTCTGTAGTAACGAACTCTAGTTTGCAATGGCAAAAAGGATTTTGTCCTGCTCCTCAGGATTCTAGAGAGATTTCCAAATCCTAGAACCAGTCTGACAGTCTTTTGTCACACAAAACTCCTACAGAGGGCAGCAAGACTCATTTCTGGAGGATGAGTACCGTAGAATTAGATTTTCTCACCGTCTTGATTCTTTTCATCTATTTAATTATACATGTAGGTTAAGAAATTATTTTTGAGTCACATGGAGGTCTGGATGGGGCTGCAACACTAAAATTGTTCCTAGACCATGGAAAATGTACTGGCTTGACTGTTCTCCAATGTTCTTTGGTCAGCCATAGCTTGAACAAAGAAAAGAGTCAGTTAAGGTATTTTCTAGGTGGTGTTGCTGCCATCAGACATATAACTAGTTATCTGAGCTACTAACATTGTCTCTGTTCAGACTGACTTTGTTCCAGTAACTTAGTTGCTGCTGTTTGTTATTGTGGGAGTGAGCTAATCGATTGCCAGTGATGGAATCTTGCAGACAAATGGAAACTCTCTGTTGCAGCTGTTATCATTCCAGGATCGTAAAGCTACAGGGGAGTAAGAATAAGAAGTTAGTTAAGGTTTTAAATGGAGGTGTGATCACATGATGGACAGAAATTCAACTCTGCTAAGTGCTCCATGAAGAAGAAATGACACACAATGTGGCCAGAAACACTAAATTTCCTATGCAAAGGATTTAGTTTCATCCCCAATCCTTAGTCCCGAAGAAAAGTCTAGTCAAAAGTCTCTGTAGTACAGGCAGAATTCTGACAACTTCAAAAGCTGCATATATTTTTGCATAGACACAAGACCATGCTGGCTAGATATAGAGAAAACTACAGTCTTACCAGACCCAGCTCTGCATACAATTACTCATGCATGTATGTTGTGTTTATTCCTATGCAAAGTCTCATATGACAGAGAAAAAGACTTATTTGTAATGCTCCTAGTCTATCTTTTCCACCTCTCGGTTGTCTCCCTCTGCCCCCAGTGATTGCTTCCCTGCTAGTGTCTCTTTCCAATAATCAATCCCTGCCATTGCAGGTGACAGGTCTGGAACTGTCCATGACGGGTCTGGAACTGTCTCAAGGCTTTGTCTTCACATACAACTCTACAGCAGCTGCTGCCATGCTTTAGTGAAGACACTACTATGCTGATGGGAGAGCTTCCCCCTAGGGCATTGTTAATCCGTCTCCCCAAGGGGCAGTAGCTGTGTGGAAGGGAGACATGGGGGGTTATGTTGGCATAACTACATCACTCAGGGCAGGAAGGTGGATTTTTCACACCCATGAGCAATGTATTTATATAGATGTAGATCTGTATTGTAGACCTGGCCTCAGTTGAGGGAAAAGCAGGCAGGTGTCTTTATATCATCTTTGACTGACAGTTCTTTACCGCCTTCCATCTTGGGGAGAGGCCATGACATTGAACGCAAACAAATTCTTTAGTGTGGGGATAGACAAAGACTATGACAACGAAAATACCAGTAGTAATTTTAATCTTTCTTTCTTTCTTTCTTTCTTTCTTTCTTTCTTTCTTTCTTTCTTTCTTTCTTTCTTTCTTTCTTTCTTTCTTTCTTTCTTACACACACACAAAAGTCAATGGGAATCTGTCTATTGATTTCTGAGGGCATCTTTGAAATACATTCATTCCCTTATCCCAGGGGTGGGCAAAATATGGCCCACAGGCCAGCTCCAGCCTGCCAAGCTGCCAGATCCAGCCTAGGCGCAGCGGGAGCCTTAGGCAGGCTCCCTGCCTGACCACCCTGCCCATCACTCAGAGCAACTGGCTACGCCTACCATGTGCTTCTCTGAATGCCATTGGAAGCCGGGGTGGGGGGCAGGTTTTACACACTGTTCCACCCCCAGTACAATCTCGTAGCTCCTATTGGCCAGTTTCCAGCCAATGGGAGCTGCCTGTGTGCAGGAGAGAAAGAGCATGAAGTACCCCTCCCCTCTGTTCCTGAGCTCATGATGTTCAGAGAAGCTTATAGCCCTCACAGCAGGCCACTCTGGGCAGCATGTGAGGACATGGAAGCAGGGAGCCTGCCTGCTGGGCTGCTGGTCGGGAGCAACCCAAGTAATATCTCCTGGCCAGAGCCTGCCTCTGGAGCCTCAGCTCCTCCCCCAACTCTCTGCCCCCTCCTGCATCCGCAGGGAGCCTGCCTGCTGGGCTGCTGGTCGGGAGCAACCCAAGTAACCCCTGGTCATAACTCAAATACCTGCACCCCCTCCTGCACTCCTGCTCCAGGTCACAAACCTCTTCCAGACTCGGCAGTCCCTCCTGCAGCCCTGTTCCATGTCAGAATCCTCTCCTGCACCCATACCCTGTCTCAGACCCCAGACCCCAATTCCCTGCCCCAGGTCAAAACCCAGGCCCCTGTACCCTCTCCTGCACCCCTGCCTCTGGTCACAACACCCTCCCAGACCTTACACCCCCTTCCCCCAACACCTCTCCTCCACATCAGAATCCTGTCTTGCACCCATGCCCCCTCCTGGACCCTGCACCACCTTCTGCACTCCAGTTCCCTGCCCCTTCCTTTACCCAGACTGCCTCCCAGATCCCACACCCACTCCCCAATGCTGTACCCCAAGCTCCCTGCTGCTTCAGCCCAGACCCCGCACCTCCCCCATCAATATAATGAAAGAATGAAGCACTTGATCACTTATCAAAATATTGGAGTGGTCCCCCATCAAAAATTATTGCCCACCTCTGCCTTCTCCCCTTTCTTCCCTTCTGCCATGATTATCGACAGAATTAGTGAGCGCCTTCTCCTATTTTCATCTGATTTACATGAGAGGCTGGTAACTGGCTGTGAAGAGATGACTCATCTGAATAATCCTCGGTGAGATTATGTCAGCATTTCATTTGTGCTCCTCAGGAAAGTCCAGAAAGGAGGCAAAATTTGAACAACTGGCTTGACTTTTAATTATGCCACTTGTGTGCTACTACAATGAGCTCATTGGGAATACAGATAGATGGATGCACAGAAAGAGGAATACACTGTAGCTTTGGCTGAGCCTTACTACTCTTTAAAAATCTTGCCATAACCTTTGAGAACAAGAAATAATTCAACTGTTTTTTCCTGTACCCTATGTGCTGTTGTAATGCCAACAGGCAAACCCAAACCTGGGACCTCTGGAGCTTACTGCATGAGCCTCCACAGCAAGGCTCTCCAACCTTTTTACAAGATCATTTTTTAAATGTCAGGGCAAGCCAAGATCTACCCCATCCTTCCCCAAGACCCCACTCCTTCCTTGAGGCCATGCCCTCTCCATTCTCCTCCTCTCCATCACTTGCTGTCCCCTGCCCTCACTCATTCTCACTGGGTTGAGACAGGAGGTGTGGTCTCTGAGATGGGACTGAGGGATTTGGGTGAGGGAAGGGGTGAGAGGTGCAAGCTCTGGGAGGGAATCTGGGTGCAGGAGGAGGTGAAGAAGGGGATGCTGGCTCAGGGTGGGGGCTCCAGGCTGGAGGGTGTTGGGGTTAGGTAAAGGGTTGGGGTGCTGAGCAAGTCGCAGGCTTGTGGATGTGGGGATGCAAGGGTTTGGGTTGGGGTGTATTAGGGACTTAGGGCAGGGGGGTTTGGGTGTATGATGGACTCTGCACAGGTTTGTGGTGTGTGGATGGTGCAGGAGTGTTGTGGCAGAAGACTGGGTAGGTGGGGGTGCAGGAGTTTGAGGATGTGAAGGGCTCAGGGCTGGGGGTTCAGGAGTATGATGGGCTCAGGGTCAGAGTCTGTTGGGAGTGCAGGAGTGTTATGATGCTGCAGCCAGATGGGGGCTTGGCCCCAATTGGGGGCTTGTTGGCTGGGATTCAATTTAAATAAAATATTATGATCAATACAAAAGGTTTCAACATTGTCTTTATTTATGGGAGGGGCGGGGAACCTTTTTTGGGTCGGGGGCCACTGATCGACAGAAACATCAGTCGGGGACCACAAAAGTGAGATGCAAAAATCAACTCCTTCAAAAAAAACCCAATCCTCACTGAGGTAGCTCCAATTGAGACACCTCACTCCCCTGGCACTTCAGCCCCGTAGGAGGGAGGGTAGATAGGACTGAGGTTCAAGGCCCCAGGCCAGATTAACTCTTCTGGGGTTCCAGGGTTAGTGGATCTTGTGTCCCCACCCCCAGGCTCTGGGGTGGGCCAAAAATGAGGGGTTAAGTGTGCAGGACAGGACTGCCAGTGAGTGGGATAGAGATGGGGGTGCAGAATCTGGGTGGGAAGTAGGGTACAGGAGCAAGCTGGGAGTAGGTGTCTGGCCAGGAGGGAGAGGGCAGGAACAGGGTGCTGGTGGGTATCTGGACTGGGGGCAGGAGCAGGATGCTGGGCAGAAGCAGCTCAGCTGGTACCTTGGGAGTCACCTGGCACAAGTATCTCTCAGGCAGGATCTGAAGGCTGCACTGGAAGAAGCACACGTGTCGCTCCTTTAAGAAATCCAGCTCCTCATACCCAAAGTCCCGATCCTCTGTTGCCATGTTAGCTCCCATCCCCAACCCTGCCTCCCTGGAGCACAGAGGAAGGAAGGGAAAATAAGAAAGCACGCATGTTGGTGGCAGTGGGGAAGGGAGAAGCAGCGTGTGCATGCTTCCCGACAAACCAGATCTGCCGCACAGCCTCAGGACTCCCCATCCTTCCCCTCTGCCCCGCAGGAAGCCGGTGCTGGTTCCAATTTTGTGAGGGGCAGGAGGCTATAGCACCAACACGGGCTCTTTGTTGTGGGGGAGGAGGAGCAAGACAGGGGCTGAGAACACAGAATCAAGATCAACTGCCAGTGTCTCTGCGATCAACCACTCAATCGCGATCGACTGGTTGAGGATCACTGCTCTACAGCTTCAGCTAAAAGCCAGCTGGCTGAGATGAAGCTGTAGAGCACACTCATTCTTTCTCTCTGTAAGTGGTCTAAGAGCCACTGCATGGGGAGTGAACCACATGCATCTCTGTAAGTGGTCTAAGAGCCACTGCATGTGGAGTGAACCACATAGGTGTGTGGGTTACACTATGGTTATATAAATACAAAATATGCGGGGAAGGGGAAAGTGGTCTGTTTAACTTACTTAGGCACAGAGGCAGGCAATTACAGCAACAGAGACAATACATTTCCTCCTCCATAAAAACAATATGTTAACTAAAACACGCTGGCAGTGTGATTATTTTATGCATAGAAGGGTGAGCCAGCGGCATGTCACTGAGTTTATTTGCATGTGCTTGCTGGAAAGCACGGTGTACAGCCCGAGATACCTACCACTGTTGTATCTGTACCAGATCTGCACACAGTCCTCCTTCTCGGGAATAGAGTGGATCCCATCATCTGGCTGGTTGCCATCCCAGTAGTTGTAATCATAGGAAGAACCATCTGTCCATTCAAAGTGGCCTTCCTATTAAATACCAGTCGGAAATTAGGCAGGGAAATGGAGAAGAGCTAGGATTTCAGCTGTGGAAGTCTGGACTCCAGGACTGGCCACCAGAATAGTCTCTTCTCCCTTCTACAGAGTGTCACTCTCAGTCTGGCCTTGTTCCTATGTCTAGAGAGCAAACACTGAGACCACGCTGAATAGAGGCTCTTCTTCCATTGACATTTGCACTCTGCTAGCAAACTGTTTGAAGTCCTAGGGTACAGCTACACTGCAAAGAAACACTCACAGCATCGAGTTTTAGAGCTTAGGTCAGTAAACTCTGGATCATGGGGCTTGGGCTGTAGGGCTAAAAATAGAAGTGTAGGCATTGCCATGGCCTTCCCCTCAGCGGGTTTCAGAGCTCAGCTTCATTGGTTTTCCTTCTGTTACCGTGAAATTTTCCAAAAGAGGATTTTAAAAGTTACCAAGTAAAACAAATAAAAATGAAAGTGTGCGGGGGGAGGAGGGCTAAACATCATTTATTGTACTGCACATGACAGGGGAGCTGGACACTTCCATCGTGGGATGCTGCTGATACCCATTGACTCAAACTGGAAACCCTGACTAGGATGGAAGACAAGCATTGCATTGCAATTACTTCAGACCAGCGGGTGCTGGACTGCCCGTGCTTGTCCCCTACCGTACAGTCCTCACCCCCCAAACAAATGGAGAAAGGAGGGACATTTTGCAAAAAATTCACACACTCAAAAATTGTTCTGGTTCAAACCATGTGACGTGGAAACAACTTTGAAATTTCAAAATTGATCATGAAATTGCTTTCCTCCTCCCTTTAAAAAAAACACAAGCATTGGCTACCTCATGGTTGCGAGGCCTGAATTATCTGCTAATGTTCATAGGTCACAGTTGAAACAATGGAAGGGCAATGTGGATAAGCAGAAAATCTTGCTCTCTAGGGCTAACTGCCCAGCACTTCCAAGCTCCGTTATAGTCCGGGGGGCGGGGGCGGAATGACAGGAAGAAAACAGAAAATATAATTTAAAAATATAATGTTGCCTTTTATGTGCATCTGATGCAACTGGCCAAGGGTTACATGCCAACGAGCCCCTGACTGAATAGATTTCCAGTTCTTTTTTATGGGAAAACCTGTTTATAGAATGATCAAGCAGGCAGTAGCTGTGCTGTGACAGTTTCTCACCTGTCTTAGGTCATGAAGTCCCATCCAGATATCAGTGGGTATTCCAGGCACTCGGCTGTTAACCAGGTCATAAACAAAGACATTCTCTGCCCAACTGGTAAAGTCCCATTATAAGAAATAGGAGATTAGTATTAGTGGAATGAAGTCAATACTATTCCTAGGCATTCAGGCTGCAGTTTGGCCAATGGGATGCAATTTTTAAACTATCCTTGGAAATTAACCATGAAAATTTTGGATTCATTTTCTTAGTCTGTGTAGGAGTATGGCTTAGGATAGCAAAACCCAGAGCTGGTTGGAAATTCAGGGAAAAGCATGTGACAGTGATTTCTAATCCCCCCCTTTCAAAATTAAAAAATTTGAATGTTCAAAAATTTTAAATAATTTCACTGGCGGCACCAGCAAGCAGGAGCTGTGGAAATATGAGGCATTTATTGCGTGTGCTCTGCCACAGCGGTGTGCCCTGCCACATCTTAAAGGGTGTGTCTACACTACCGGAGGGTGGGGGGGTGTCTCAAAAAAGTGGCCTGTTTTTGAAAAAACTTCCTCTGCGTCTAGACTGCCGCTGCGTTCTTTTGAAATTAAATCGAAAGAACATGGTGGTTTTTTCGACCACGGTAAACCTCATTTTATGAGAAAGAACGTCTTTTTTCGAAAATGCTCTTTTGAAAAAAAGGTGTTCTTGAATGCAAACAGGGGTTTTTCGAAAGAGAGCATCCAGACTGCCTAGGTGCTTTCTTTAGAATAAGCAGCTCGCTTTTTCGAAAGAAGTGGTTGCAGTCTAGATTAGTTGTCCCCTACCATTTGGAGCTGCCGGGAGACAGGGGGCGGGCCCGTTTGCCCGCCAAGTGCCAGAGGGCAGGGACACTTCTGTGCCCGGGGGCGGAGCTGTGCCTACGCCACACCCCCAGGAGCCACATGCCTGGGGCCAGCAACTCCATGCGCCACATGGCCATAGGTGGGGCCACCCATTCGCTGCAAGCCTGGGGCTGGCGCCCTCCAGAACAACACGCCCGGGGCAGCACCCCCCATAGCCAAGCGCCTGGGGGTGGGGCGGCCAATTTGCCGCATGCCCAGGGCCGGCGCTCCCCATGCACCATGCGCCTGGGGCTGGCACCGCGTATGTGTGGTGCACCTGGAGCGGCGCCGCGCATGCACCACGTGCCCGGGGCGCGGCCAGCCCCAAGCACTTGGTGGGCGCACACAAATGCCCCCACGGGTGTCATGACGCCCACGGGCACCGTGTTGGGGACCACTGGTCTAGACCCTCTCTTTCGAAAGAGGCTTATATTCTAGACGTAGCCAAACTGTCAGGAGTGGCTGGGCCTTGCAATGGAGGGGAAACCCCAGAAACAGGACATTGCCTCGTGAATGCCTATTCACTTTCTAGGGGCCTGCTTCAGTGCTCCTTGAGGTCAAAGAAAACACTTCATCATCTCTCAGGCAGTTTCTAATATTGGCCGTAGGAGAGGTGTAGGGAGAGGAGATTCTTGAATTTCAGGTGGATTGTAGATGTGCCCATGTAGCAAAATCTGCCCCTGATCTTGAAACCCAGCGTTTTGCTTTAGGCCCCATTTCCAATCTGGGTCCGTGAACTGATCCAGTGACCAGGAATGGAAAACCTTCCTGTTTTGCAAGTTGAGAGTCAGACAAAATTATAACCAAAATTGTTCTTTTGAAACCAAAGCCACTCTCCTCTCTCCAGGGACTGCTTAGTATCAGGGGTGTAATATGGCAGTTGTCGGTGTGGAGTCTATTGGTGTAATTGAGGCCCTCTGCTCCTGCTGTGCAGTTTCCATTCAAATGCCTGGGGTTTGCATTGTATGCACATACAGGCAGCCTCTTGGAAATGCAGCCCTTTAAATTACTATGGCAAACCCAGGGTGAGCCAAATAGCTTTGCTGTATTGCAGAGCAGAAGGGGATAGCTTGCTATTTATGTTAAGGTAACTAAACAGTATTAGAGACCAGGGCTATTCCGCAAGCGACTGTGGGCTTGACTAAGAACAATGGCCACAGATCTGCTTCAGAATTATTGGCCTAAGCTAAATCTTGGGTATGTCTACACTACCACCCTAGTTGGAACGAGGCGTACAGATAGTTCGGAACAGGAAGCCTAATCCGAACTACCTAGTTCGTGCCGTGTGTAGCCGCGGGCACGGAGTCCGAACTAGCGGACATTTAAAAATGGCAGCGCCCGGCAACATGCAAATGAAGCCCGGGAAATTCAAATCCCGGGATTCATTTGCAACTTCGGTTGACTACATTACCACCCTAGTTCGAACTAGGGGGGTAGTGTAAACATACCCACATAGGGTATGTCTACACTACCCCCCTGGTTCGAACTAGGGGGGTAATGTATGCATACCGAACTTGCTAATGAAGCCCGGGATTTGAATTTCCCGGGCTTCATTAGCATAAAGCCGGCGCCGCCATTTTTAAAAGCCAGCTAGTGCGAACCCCGTGCCACGCGGCTACACGCGGCACGGACTAGATAGTTCGGATTAGGCTTCTATCTGTTCGGTATGCATACATTACCCCCCTAGTTCGAACTAGGGGGGTAGTGTAGACATACCCATAGAGATCTAATTAATGCAGTTGAGGAGTTTTCATTCTGTCCATTAGAGGGCAGAGATACACATGCACACAAGCTCATGCACTTCAATACAGAACTCCCTACAGTGGTAATGGGGCTTGAATGGGTTTGTTTTCTTGTAGGAAAGTTAAACTCCAGCAGAGGAATTATTTTGCTTATATATTTATTTATTGCAGCAGGCATTGTTTAGATGGATGTTAACAATGTTAGGAGCCAATTTCTTTGGTTCTTACCTGTGAATTGATGCTAATTTGGCTGATTTTATGCCACTGGAAAATTCAGCACAGTAGAGGTCAGCTTCTGCCCATGTTTTATTGATAGGAAAATATCTGTAGCAGTACCCTTCATATTCCGTCCAGAACAGTGGGCAGGAATAGGATTGAATTGGCTCTGGCATAGCTGGCGAGACAGGAAAGAAAATTGCCAGAACATTGAATGTGCAGCAGATGCAGGAATCTCAGAAATGGTGAATGTTTCTAGTTTTAAGATCTGGCTCAATGTCCTGGTTGATTTTACAAAAAAAAAAAAAAAAAAAAAAAAAAACCACCACCACCACCAACACACACCAAAACCCAACAGCCTAGATTAGCACGATACCTGGAGACTTTGAATGCCTCTTTTTTTGGTTTCCTCCTGGAAATACCTGAATGTCAGAGGCTACGAGCTAAGCGCTGTGGAAAGTTCGAGCAGTATTGGCCATTTTTGAGTAGGCCAAGCAGAGAAGAAACATACTTTTGGATGCTACTGTAATATAAATAGTTACTAACCCTATTGTACACTTTCCAAGCAGGACTGAAGTGGCACTATGGAGTTTTGAAGGGGTTAGGTTTGGGCCCAGTCTCATTTACATCAATGTCTGGAAAGGGCAAACTTGTAGGAGATATTGCACTTACATTGCAAATAACACAGAGAAGAGGAAAAAGACTGAAATCAAAGGGACTGGAACAAAAATAGGAGCAGCAGTGGGAAAGGGATGCTTGCAACTTAATGCAGTAAAAATCAGTGAAAATAGTATAGAAAGAAGCTAAGAAGCATTATCCTCTAAATGGTCACAAGGCACAAGACACCGTGGGAGAAATAATGAGCAGAAATTTAAATCCATCAGTCACATTTCTGGGAGGCAGTTAAGAAGGTAAATAGGGCCTTAATTCAGCAAGATATTTAAGTACAGGCTTAATTTGAAGTACACGCCTGGTCTTGCTGAAATCAATGGGATGATCTATGTGCCTGCAGTTAGCACGTACTTAAGTACCATGCAAGACTGAGGCTTTAATCACAGCACACATCAGAGAATTTGAGGAAGCTCTGTTATCTCCACTCTATCATTTCCTAACCAGTTTCATTTCCCAACACTGTTCTTTGTGTGTGTATTTGTTTTACATCAATGGATTCATGCGTACTAACCATCAAAGCTGGCTCTGGTGGTACTTCACAAAGTACAAGAGAGACTCCAGCTATAGAGATCACTGAAGACATAGAAAAGGTAGAGCAAGAGTGAAATGCTCCAGGATTTGGAGGAAGGGGGAGGAAAATGCTGCTGATGCCCTTTAGAAGAGAGGCAGCACAATAGATGAGTATGAAATGTTGAACAGTGCAGAGAAGGCGGATGCCACAAAACTATCCAAGCAAATAACAGGCTCAAGCCCCAGAGAGTTCAGAAAGGAGCCGGTATTAAGGGACTTCCAGGGAATCATCTTTACAATGACCCATAATTAACCTGCAGACAAACTCTGCTAAAAGCAGCAACTGAAGCAGCAACCACAAGCATATTAAGAAGAGGGGAAATAGCCAAGTCCCAGTCATCACAGGATATAAATGCTAGAACTCGCTGGCTTGACCTCCTTCCATCCCCACGTCACTATGTGAAACTGCCTTTGGCAGTAATTTTGCACCCCATTTCTTCAGTTCCTTCCATATAGGCCCTCACAGCATTTTACAAACATCTGTCAATTCAGCCTCCCCAAAAGTCCCTGTTGCTATAAGCATTGCACTCAATTCTCAAAGAAAGGCCACCTGCGAGGCAAAGGTGCTCCCTGAAGATAACACAGTAAGTCCGTGCCACAAGGCCAGCGTTAGAACCCAGTTCTTTAACCATTTCATCACCATTCCTGTGTAGAGAACATAACGCTGGCTCTGGATTATATCAATCAATTCCCCAGAAGCAGGGAGTCTCTCACTGTCTATGGCAGCAGAATGACTCAGATACCTGGAACTGGCTGTTCCCAGCATTTCACGGCTCACCAAAGCTCCGTGAAACGAACAGCAGGTGTTCAGGGGAAGGGGAGTGCTGTGAGTCAGTCTCTCCTGCTGACCCAGGTTATTGTATGCCTCCATAATGCCAGAAATGCTGAGTCCAGTGATTTCAAGTACTGCAAACCAGGCACTATTTTGTGACTATCGTACACAGCTATCTTTCCATTGCCTTCCTGTCAGCCCCAGCCTTCACCAACACCCTGCTGTCCCTAGAGCTCAGATAAGATCCTTCTTTCCCTTCTGCAGTGACCCTGCCCTTTTCCCCTCCAGAGATCTTTAGAAGACGTATCCTGATACAAGTGCTCTTGGAGCCAGTTCCAGTCACTATCAGCCTTGAGAAGTGCCAGGCCTCGATAATTAGGGTCAGTATGCAGCTCATATTGGAAGAGCCAAGTCACACCGAGGAACGAATGAGTTGCTTTCTGAACACGGCGTGACTGTGCTAGTGATGAGCTATGCTCCAGTTGAAAATCAGGACAGCGTCTTGAAACACAGAAGCAACTTTTTAAAACTCAAGTGAATTTGTAGTCAGTTAACTGCAAGACGCAGTGTTGAGTCCCATGGAGCCCTTCCTGCCATCATCTCGCAGAGAAAACAGTGACTCAGGGCTGCTTCCCTGCCTAGTGTAACAAAACCCAAGACAGAGAGAGCGGCAGCAGGATCTGGACACTCTATGAGTTTCAACCTCCAATGAATGGAAGGGAGAGATTGGCTCCCAGCCTCCACAGAGCCCAGAAATCCCAGGCAGGAAGCATCAACTAGCTGCAATTCCCCCTGGGCTCTACCTTCCCTGATACATACTGAGGGGTCAGTCATAGAGTGGAGGTTAGTGGATCTCTCAGCCTGGCTATGCACATTGTCCCTTGACTCACTCCTTTCCTACTCCCTGAGCTCCCACGGAGGGTGAAAGTGCCTGGAGAGGCCTCGGTGAGTTTTGGGGAGCATGGTGCCCGGCACAAAGCTCCTCTAGCTCTCGCCAGTTGCATGCCAGGCTCTTCCATCGGCTCATTTTACTCCTCTTTGCTCCCTGTCACAGCTCTCTGGACAACAGGGTCCTCAGACAGGCAACCCATTGATTTCCATGGATACCTTTGCTTGAGGGGCAAACCCTAAGCCCTTGGAGATCAAGAGGAAGCCGCCTGTTAATTTCAGTGGGATTTTGGATAAGATCTGAGCTGGTCCTACATTCTGATTCTCTATATTTTTTATGCTATTGATGTCACTTATTACCAATTCCTGATGAAGTCACATTGGCTAGACAGCATGCTTCTTCCTGCTCTCTGTGGGCTCTGTACAGCAAGATGGCAGGGACTCCTATGAGCTGAGAGCACCCCTAGCTTCTCAGGAACACTCAGCACATGGAAGGACTGAGCCCTGCCCAGCAACACCCAGCGGTACTTAATTATTGGCTGGAATAACTAAAGACACTGTGAGCTTCACAGCCTGCCTCATCGTTGATATTTTTGGAACATTTATTAAAGGTGGCTGCAAACTCTTCCCCTTTAGCCTCATGAAGCACAAGGGACAAGCACGGCAGCCGTCTCAGTGTTTTCCTTTTCATGTGAAGCGTTACAGCATGTTTGATGTGTACTGTTTTAAATTTCAATTAGGATGGCCCTGGCTTCCCTGAAATTTTGTGAGCAAAGCGTTTCCCTTGATAGAAATAGTTGAAACAGTCATTGGAGCGAGGTGTTCAGACAGCCTTTGGAAATCCTATACCATTTTCCCAAGTAGATATTATTAATTTGATTAGCTTCAGTGAACAAGAGGTGCCTGGAGGAATTTAAGGTTAAATATACCAGAAAAGAGAACAAGGGTAAGTCAATGCTTAATTAGCATCTTTTCTGTTAGATCAATGTGGGAAGCCTTTGCACTCTTTAGAAGAGAGGTTATTATTCTTAAATTCATAGGAACTAACAGAGCAAACCACTTTTATTCTAGAACACTGAGGTATATTTTTATTTTAAAATCTGTCAGACAAAAT